CACCCCCACCACCCCCACCACCACCTCCACCGCCGCCACCTCCTTTGCCAGCACCTCTACCTCCGCCTGTGATCGACATCAATGCTTGCATTGAATCGAGTATGGAAACGGCACTCACCTTGGCCTGCAATTCTGGTTCAGTCGAGCTAGTCCGTTTGCTCCTCGAGAGGGGTGCTGACAAAGAGCATCGGGACAAAAAGTCACACACACCCTTGCATACAGCCGTCTATGCAAATATGCGTCCAATCGTTGCGCTTCTGCTTGATTATGGTGCGGACATTGAGGCTCAAGTTGAGCGCTCTAAAGAGACTGCTCTTTCAATTGCCTGTTCACATGGAAAATTAGATGTAAGTTGGTCACCCCAACTTTTATGAGTTTTTGTCGATAATCTAGTACTTGATATCTGAATATGCACCATTTTCTCATGAGTGACTTTCTGATTTGTCAATAACTTCCCAAATTTACTTGGTTAGCAGCATATTCTAAACAAGCGGATCGGGTGTCATTAATTTGCTTTTCTACTACGAAATCTTCCTTTTTTCATAACCATTGAGGATTCATGTTCTTGTCTTGTTTATTGATTTAGCGCACATGGTTGTTCTATTCACTTATGAATCAACACTCATTGTTTTTGAAAAATTAAGCTTACTTTCTTCATATATATAAAGACCAAGATGGTTTAGCCTTCTGTTTAGTCGCAGTCTCCTTTAATTTTATTTTGTTAGTTCGACCTTGTTTTCGCAACTTGGTCGAAGTGTCGGGGAGGCCTTGTTGAATGTGTCCTCCGCCATAATATTCGTGATTTCCAGCATTGGACCATTGGCTAGGTACATAAAACGTTTAGCCCGCATCGTCAGTGAGGGGCACCATCGTAAGCACAGAGTCACAACTTATCAAAGTTAAAAGTGAAGTCAATACCCTTGACCAATTTTCTGTTCAACCGTTGTGGCATCATTCCTCGCCTCTATTTTTTGTTCTAACTTTTAGTACCGCAACTCTTCCTCTTAACCCCACTTCAGATAAAGAGATGCGGCACTAGAATATAGAACTAAAAATGGGGGCGAGGAGTGATGCCACAACGGTTGAACAGAAAATTGGTCAAGGATATTGCCTTCACTTGTCAATTTAATAAGTTGTAACTCTGTGTTTACGATGGAGCCTCTCATTGACCATGCAGGCGAAACGTTTATGGAAATGTGTCCAGTCAATTGTCTAATGCTGGAAATCATGAATAATATGGCAGAGAACATGGAACTAGGTACGTTCCACAAGGTCTCTGACGCTCCGACCAAGTTGCAAAAACAAGGTCGAACAAACACTATACTTTCTTCATTTTTACTCTTCTTTCGTTAATCTTCATGCTAGCTTGTAAATGAAATCAGGGAGTAACTCTTTGAAGACTCAGTCCCCCATTCATTCCTTCATATTATACATCTTTGTACCTACGATAGCATTTCAACTTATATATCCAGCCAATCGATGAATGATTTATATTTATAGTCAAGTTGTGGATGCTACTTTCTTTGCCCTTTTTACTTTGCTTTCGCTTTTTCAATCGAAGACAAACTTGAATTCCTTCCTTCTCTACATGGTTGGAAGTATAATGAGAGATAACTGATTATTCTGATGTCAAAATACTTCTAAGAGCGGATACGAACTGTCAACCCCAGTCAAGTGTTCACTCAATAATTACCTCCACATGAACCCTTTCTTATTTTTGGTCGCGTTTACTTAGAGATAAAGCCAAAGATATCCATATTTGTTCTATCCGGGGATACAAATAAAGCCTGATCTGTGTCGATACTGTCTCGATATACTCCGTGTGACCAAACGATGCTGAAAGTTAAGCCTTGAGGCGATTTCATCTAACATGTCACTCATTTATAAAAACCTCTTGTCATTATTCTGGATTATGTTGCGAGCTTACTTTTCTCGTTGCGTAGTAATTGGCCGTCGTAGCTTTACTTTAGGGAACTTATTGTATTTGTACTCATTTGTGCTTTAAAGACATTGTCTCACGTAAACTTAAATATGGTATAGTTTTTCAGCGTGAATATCCAAATGGGCTAATTTAAACTGAATTGCTGAATCTTCCTGTCCTTTTTTCGTAATACAAGGGAAAATTGATTTCAGGGCGAAATTGCGTAGAATTCTGCTTAATTAACTACGCCTAATCTCGCGCACACAAATGAGCTGGCATTGATTTTGTTGCTCTGCCCTCATAGAGCGCAGCCACATCAGTTATACTACTCACAGTAGGATCCTATATTTGCATATGCATATATATATGTGCGTGTATGCATTACAATCAAACCAGACGAACGGGTCATTTAGTCCACTTGCACCTTCACTTTCTGTATTGATTTGCTCGCCTCTTGATAGCTCTGCACTCGTCTCACCCACTTGTATGCGAAGCGGCCCGTTTGTAAATTGATCGATGCCACCTAATAGTTGGCTCTAATTTGTCTGTCATCCTTTCGTCTATGTACAGTCTTGCTCGGCCATTCCTGCCGCTTAACTTTATGAAAATAGGCGTCTCATAAAACATCTCTTCTCTATGTTCATATAAATTGAGTTTACCCTTCATTGGGTAAACGGATATCCTTCATCTATATTCCATTGCCGACCACTCATATGTCTGGATAGTTAAAAGCTTATATAGTGACACCAATTATTAATGCCTTATGACCTCGGTTTAATTTTAAAATTCTTGTAACCTTCATAATCAAATAATCTCATTCTTCAGCTAATCTATCTTGGTGTCTTATTTGTGGCGATGAAATTTGTTTAACTTATAATATCCATAGTTAATGATGGTACCTGGTCCACCATTACATTCATCGAGTCCTAGTTACCTGTCTTAATTGACTTTTGAGTAACTGATACTTCCAATGTTTTTTATACTAAGTCTACCTAGCATCTTTAATTGGTCTCCATGCTCTTTTTCGTTGCGAGGATTACATAGTTCATGTAGATTACGTAAATGCTTTCCGTTCTTTTTCGTTTTTAAATCCATATAATTCATTTTCTCATCTTTTCTCTTTTATTTTAAGGTTTTTGAACTTGTATGACCATATTACTATCAATATTATTACATGTTTAGTATCATAATCTAGTTCAGAGGGCAAATGCAAATTGCCTACGGGTGCAATAATGTAATAATTCTGCAATGACTCAATCAGTATTCAAAACTTTCGTTTACTATAATTACCTTAGGCATTGTACTTAAAAATATATTAGAATGATGACTGCTTGCTAAGCAACGAAGGCGGGCTTCGGATATCCTTCCAGAAGGGCGACGATTTCGTTTATGCTTGAATTACTTTCTTGAGCAGAGGGAATCTTCTTAGCTTATAATAGCTAAATATATGTGAAGACAAACCTTTATTCCTGTGCGTTGTCTCTTCATGTTAATAGACATGATATTCTTTTACCAGAAAAATAATGGATTACTCATTTATCTACGTTGTCTCATGGCCTGAATTCATTGGTATAGACCATCATACCTCATCTTTTTACAGTCGTCTTAGTTGCATACTTTTTGCTAAACTAAATTAGAAGATATGAAGACCAAAATTGTGTGGCCCTTGGTATGGTCGCGGTCTCCCTTCGATTTGTACAAGTGGGTTGACCTCGTTTTCGCAACTTGGTCTTGTTGTCAGGACAGCTTAGTTGAGCGCAACTTGTCCGAAGTCCTCTGCCATAGTTGTTATCATAATTCCTAATATGTGCTTAGTTCATGGTCAGACGCTGGGGTTTATGATAACTATAGCAGAAGACTTAGGACAAGGTGCGTTAAACTAAGTCGCGAAAACGAAGCCAAACTAAATTTAATTTTCTGTATTCCATTGTAAGATAGACTTATTTAATCTGGCTTGAGACTTTGACAAGTGTCTCTCTTATATGCCACTTTCTACATATAAGAATATAATTTCGAACTCAACCTGCTTATAGTCACGTATGGTTTCACGCTATATACTTTTCAAAAATAAAAAAATAATTAGCATAACCTAAATAAAGTATTTAATTTATAGGACATTGTCGGAGAGTGTAAATTAACCTTAAATGCATAGAAGTTGGTTGACTTCGTGTTCG